CTGTTGTAAGAACTGAAACAAGCCCGAGGACTGTCACAACCTGAGTGAATGTTGGTTCTTTTTCTCTTTTCTTCACCCAAGTTAGGATGTGTCTACCCTCTCGTTAGTGGTTTACCCTCACTTCCACACCCACCCAGATAACCATCAAAGAATATGTCTTTTTTTGTGAAACCCTTTTCTTGACTTTTTACAACAGAGGTCTCGTATTTGTCCTTTTGTGACTGAAAAAAGAGACTATAAATTTCTGTTTGGAAGCCACCCGCTGTGTCACAGCAGCAAAGTAGGGCAATCTCTGGGAAAGAAGACACCCTCTTTCTGCTTTTTCTGGACCAAGTCTCAGTCCTCCTTCTGCCCAATTTTCTGTGAACCTAAACCTTCTTGAGATCAATGCTTGTCCACCTTTCTTCCTTCCTGGTATTTGTGTTTTCAGGCTGCACAGATCCCTCTTAGCCTGGCTTTTGCTGTAAGCCACAAGGGTTATGCAGTGTTTGCATAATTAATTTCAAAATATTTCCCAATTTTTACTGTGGCTTCTGTCATGGATTGAACTGTGTCCCCAAGAAACAGATGTCATGCTATCCTTCTCCAGGGACTCGTCCCTCCTGACCACACGACCAAAGTAGATGAGAGGAAGTCTGGCCATGCTCGCTTCCAAAGGGCATTCAGCAGGCTTTCTTCCAGGACAGATTGGCAGCAACGTGCTGTAGGCTTCTCTTACATAGGCCTCTTCTGGTTTCTTGTAAAAGGGTCCTGTAGTTTTCTTTGCGGGAGCTCTGGTAGCATAGTGGCTAAGACACTTGCCTGCTAACCAGACGGCTGGCAGTTCAAACCCACCAGCCACTCCTCAGAAGGAAGGTTGGGCAATCCTACTTCCGTAGTGATAGTGCCTTGGAAACCCAAGGAGGGGTCGCTATGAGTCGGGTTTGACTCGACGGCACATAACAACAACAACAAGTTTTCTTTGCATATGTTTTTTGTGTGCCTAGTGAGATTTACTCCTGAACTTCATCTTTTGGGTGGTTTTTATAGTTGCAATTGTACTATTTGGTTTACACCAGAGATCACAACATGCATCTCTGGCTAATGTAACCGGTACTTTTACTTCTCTTGGACAATGCAGAGACCCACTTTACCTGCTCCCTCACTCAGGCTGTCTCTATTGTGCATTCACATCCTTAGCTGAGCTCACACCAGCATTGTTAACGTTGCTGCTGTTCTATGCAATCGACTGACACCCATTTAGCTTTGCCCACAGTTGGTGTTTGTCATTGCTTATCATCTGAGCCCCCGTCTGCACCATTCCCTTCTCCTTAAAGAATGTCCTTTCCTGTTTCCTTTAGCAGTGGTGTCAAGAGGGTTGGTGTCACCCCCATGAGCCTCCTCCCATACCAGATCATACAGAATCCTTAGCAATGTTTATTTTCAATTTTAATCATAGAATAATATGCAGTATAGTTGTAAATTGCTTAAAAATATTATTTTTTAGATGATATGAATACTATCGACAAGACTGTTTTGTAAAATCCTTCTACATTGAATTATAGCATTATTAGTTACATTATTTGTAACTGAGTGAAAGCATTTTTAAATTTTTCTCCATCTTGTCCTTTAATTGCTGCTAAGAGAATGAAAAAGACTATTGATATATGCCTTAGTTCCCTAGCACTGCTGTAACAGAAATAGCACAAGGGAGAGCTTTAAGAAACAGAAACGTATTATCTCACAGTATGTTGTTGTTGTTGTTAGTATGTTGTTCTTGTTGTTGTTAGTATAGAAGGCTGCAAATCTGAATGCAGGGTGCCGGCTCTGGGAGGAGGGCCCTGCCCTCCTTGAGCTTGGCTGCTGGGCCAGCACCACCACGGCCTGGCATCTCTCTTCTCCCAACTCAGCTTCTTTTGCTTGCTTGCTTAACCTCTTTTACATCTCAAAAGCAAATGACTAAGACATATCCTGCTCTAATGCTGTCTCATTAACAAAATAAAGGTAACCCATTCCCAGATGGGATTATAACCACAAGTACAGTGGTTAGGGTTTACAACAGATATTTTGGGGGGAGACACAATTCAGTCTATGGCAACATAGGTTCACACATACTAATTACCACAACACTGTAGGTAAAACACCAGAAAATTTTACAAAATCAGTGACTATAAAAACACGAGCAGCAATGAAAATATCACTTGCTTGTAGCACATGCAGATGGAACCATGTGATCTGAAGCGTCATCATAACTGAGACATAATGATAGCTCTGACTGGAGCACATTAAGGTTCAAAAAGTAAATTAGCACAGAGTTTTAGCCTGATAGCTATATTGATACATGTAAGTTGGGCTTATGAAAAATGTTTTTGTTATTATAACTACACAGATACTTTCATAAATAATAATAAATTTCTGCTGAAACACACTGCACAAAAATTTTGTAGACAGTCATTTTGGTGTCACCCCACTGACAGTGTCACCCAGTCTGTATCCCCTACATCCCCCTAGTGATGCCACTGCCTGTACTGGGAGAGTACTGGTGACAGATTCAGTCAGTTTTTGCTTATTTGAAAATGTCATTATTTACTTTAATTCTTGAAGGATAGTTTTGCTGGTATAGAATCCAGGTTGGCAGCTATTTTCTCTCAGCACTTTTCCATTATCTTCTGGCTTCCACTGTTTCTGCTGAAAAGTCAACTGCCAGTCTATGCATTGCTCCTTTCAAGGTAGTCCATTTCTCTGACTGATCTGAAGATTTTCCTCTTATCTTTGGTTTCAGCTACTTCACTACCATATGTTCAGGTGTGGTGTTCTTTTGTTTGATTCTGTGTGGAGTTCATAGGCAACCCCTGGGCCAAAGCCCTGCAGCCCCAGACTGTAGCCACCAGCCTTAGATCTACCTACAAGAGGCTGAAGAATCCCAGCACAACTTGGCACACCATCTCTATGTGACAGCACCCTGCCCACCCACCTAGATGAGGAACAAGACTCTGAGGAATAAATGGCCACCTTGACTTCTTGGCCTTCTGCCTCTATCCATCATGGCTGTTCTTCTTTTTCACAGAGCCCTCCTGAAGGTCACTGAAGGTCACTATTTAACTTCACCATCCTGGAAGAGGCCCCAGTCAGAGTCCTCTACTCCCCTTCCCACAGGATGTGGTTCTGGCTAGGAAGTCCTCCCTTTCTCCCATCTTCCAGCCATTCTTACTAAGTGAGTGTGGTTCAGAGTGTGAAGGCAGATGGAGACAGCACCCACCTTCCTCCACACTCACTTCCCACTTCATTGTCAGCACTGCCCTGAGCTGCTCACAACCCAGAACTCAGGCTTGTGTTCCTTTCCTTCTCATAGTCCACCTGGTAAGGGCCCTCGACCCCTGCCTAGTATGGCAGTGGAGAGTCTGCATGGTGTGGAGCCTGGCAGAATGGTGTTTTCTGCCAAGGAGGAGACACTGGCAGGCACTGGGCAAAGTTCAGATCCTGCTGGAGCTCACACTCCTTTATGAGTCTAAATCCAGGACAGGTGAGGACAAGTGAGCTCAGGTGAGCTCAGGGCAAAGCACACTGTCACCTGGGAAATGCCCTGATGGGAAAACATAAGAAGATGGATAAAGTGCAGGGCTGTCAAGGGCAAGCCCTCTCGTGGGCTTCTGAGAAAAGATTTGTTAATATCAATTAAAATAAAAATTAGAAACCCTTTTCTCAGTCACCTCCCATTCAAGAATTTATCTCCAGAAACTAGAGTTCCAGTTTGTACAGATACAGGTTCAAGGGTGTTTACTGCAGCTTTGTTTGTAATAGCCAAGCAAATAGAAACCACCTGAATGTCCCTCAGTATGACAGCATCAAGCCAAGCCCAGTACACAGATGCTATAGAACACGTCACCACCCCCATCTGTCAGTGTGTTGGACTGCGGGGACTGCATGTGGCTCTAAGGCTGGAAGCGGTGCCAGCAGGGTCACCCGTGGTGGACAGTCTTCAGGGGAGCATCCAGAGAAGACAGACTAGATGAAAGGCCTGCCAAACTACTTGCGGAGATTAACTAATAAAAACCCAATGGATCGAGCAGAACACGGTCCACCACAGTGCTGGCGGATCACAGCAGAACATGGTCCAGCACAGTGCTAGCAGATGAGCTCCTGGGTGAGAAGGCAAGCCGGGGCCCCGGTGAACCTCCCACCACCACTGCTGCCACGTGGGTGCTTCTTCCCAGCTTCTTTCTGTTCTTGTTCCCTAAGGAACAATCAGGATGGAGCCTGTGGCCTCTCCACAGAGGGTCAGGATGTGGGCACACAGGTGTGTGCTGGGAGCAGCCCCTCCCATGCAGCCACTGGCTCCACAGGGCTGACCACAAATACCTGCTCCCTTAGCAGGAGCCTCAGGGACCTCCAGGTCTCACCCACTTGCAAACACAGACAGAGGTGGGGGCCACCAGAGAGGAGGCACCCTGCCACTAGACAGATGGTGTTTGTGAGGGGAGTGCCTCCTCTCATCCTGTCCTCTGGCCACCCTGGCCATTGTGGAGCAGAGTCTGGCGGAGAGGGGCCAGGCCACTGCAGAGCTACCAGAAGCCAGTTTGACGCAATAGGAAAAGGTGGACACACGGACATGGACATGGGCCAGAGACTAGGAAAGCCACCACAGAGCAAGGGTTTGAAGGAAAAGCTCCAGGCTCAGGAGACACCTGCTGGAACTGCACTGGGGTGAGTGGTCAGCCTCAGGCATGTCGCAGAGCCCTAACAGCTCAGAGCCTACCTCTGCCTCCACGCGGCACCTTCCTGGAGACCCCCAAGCTAGTCTCAGGGTGAGGACGCTCCCCCTTTCTCTGTCCCCAGCAGAACCCTTCATGAGGGCTCCCAGTGTAGGACACTGAGCAGCGAGGGGCAGAGACACCAGCCAGCCATGCCCAGGCCCGGTTCCCACTGACCATCAGGAGAGCAGGCAGCTGAGCAGCAAGGGGCAGAGACACGGCAGGCACCCTGAGCAGCCGGCCATGCCCAGCCCCCTTCACTGCTGACCGTCAGGAGGGCAGGCAGCCAGCATGTTCCTTCTCTGGGGGGACATTGTTCAGCACATCACGCAGGGAGAACAGGCTGAAGGCTATCTCCTCGTAGGAGACCCGTGTCCCACTCTCGTACAGGCAGGCGAAGGCCTGGCCACCCCGGTGCACCCCTGGGAGAGCTGCCAGGTCAGAGTAGCCGCTGGGCCCCTCGTAGATCACCCAGGGCTCTGTCCAACTGTGTGGGTCCAATGGGGCCATGCTCAGGCACACACCCATGTGGAGCCGAGCCCGGCGCCCAGTCGGGTGGGAATAGAGCAGCCACGTGGGGCTGGGAGCCTGGACCACAGAGGCCCAGCTCTCCCCTTGGAGGCAAGGACCGCAGCCAGGCTCCCCCAGGACATTCCCACCACCCCCAGCCACCCCACAGGTGTCTTGAGCACCCTCTTCTAGGGACTCCTGGACTACGGGACCAGAGTGTGAGGTGTGGGAGTGGCTCCTGGCCAGAGGCCTGTGGGCGGACGGGGCTGGGAAGCCCACCACACTGCCCTGGCAGCCACGGGCCGTCTCTGCCAGCGAGGGCACCAGCTGCCCAGGCAGGAAGGAAGCACCCTCGTCGTCACTGAGCGCCTGCACGCGGCTGCCCAGCGGACTCCGGGCATTGCAGTAAAGCACAGGGCCGCCAGGGCTGCCCTCCACAGCCGCCAGCTGGCACTCGCCCGAGCGCAGGTTGGGCACCAGCCCCCCGTGGCGCCAGCTCCCGCCAAGGTCATCGCTGTAGAAGACGAAGGCGTGGGGGGAGGTCCGGCAGATGCGGCCGAAGCACTCGCGCCGGTCCACGCGGTAGGTGTAGGCCGGCACCAGCAGGCGGCCAGAAGGCAGCTGCACACCATGGCCAGGGCCCACTGCGAAAGTGGCCCATTCTAGGGGGGGCAGGGAGCATCAGCTGAAGCCCCCTCCCAGCACAAGCCCCGGCAGCCCCCTTAGCCCGAGTCTGGACAGTCCAGCAGCCCCCAGCGCCAGTGGACAGACGACCGGGGGAGGCGGGCACAGGCCAGCTGCTGCACAGTTAGGTCAGATTGGGACCGTGGGGGGATGAGGGGGCCTGTAGCCGGATCTGGGGACAGCCCTCTGGTCAGCCTCAGGGACAGAGTCCCAACACAGCCAGCCCCGGCTGAGTCCGCGGGGCTGGGGGCGCACACGAGAGGGTAGTCACTCCTTGGGTTGGCTTTGGAGTCATGTCAGTGCCCCCGGTGTAGCGTCCCTGTGCTGGGGCTGGGCATGCCGGGTGCTCAGGCTGTGGGGCAGCGGGAGTGGCGGGAACATGCCGGCTTTAGGGTCAGCCCTGCCCTGTGATTGTGGAGGGGCCCTCACGGCAGGGCTGAGGTGGGGGAGGAGGAAGGGGCCATGCCGAGGGGCACGCGAGAAGCCATAATTAGGGACCAAGAGAGACCGCCGTGTCCATCCTCTGCTGGCACAGGGATGAGCCAAGAGGGAGCGAGGGGCAGGGGCTGTTGCCAGGCAGCGGTGACCTCAGGGAGGGGAGGACCAGGTCTTTCCAAAGGGAGCCTCCCTGATCGCTGGGTGCCAGCCCCCCCCCCCCGCCGCCCCCGTCCTGGCCGGTGTGCACCAATGAGAGGGCAGGACCGGAATTCTGGGCCCGCAGTCCTAGCCCCCACCCCACCCCATCAGGCCCCCTGCCTTGGCCCCGCCCATCCAGCCCCGCCCACCGCCCTCGCCCCGCCCAGCCTACCTTGTTCCGAGCGGCCCACTGCCTCCACAGTGAGATCCCGGGCTGGGCCCCAGGTGAGGCCCGCGTCGCGGCTGGTCACACAGCAGAGGCGGGCAGCGTTGCGGCCGGTGGCGATCTGCACGGCCTCAGGGGTGTGGCCAAGCACCGCGATGAAGAACAGGAAGACGGTTCCTGTGCGCGCCTCATGCACCGGGCAGGGGTTCATGGAGCGATGCCCCTCCAGGGCCGCCGTCTCCAGCACACGCAGGCCGCCCCACTGCAGAGGGAGCCGGTCACACTGGGACCTGGGCCTGCCCGGGGCGCACCACCCGGCCTCACACCCGGCGAGCCCTTCTGCAAGCAGGGCCCACCGTGCACAGAGCCCCCAGCTGCCTCACCTGCGGAGCGCCCCTGGCCAGCGTCCCGCGCCGAAGCACCAGGCGGTGCGCGTGGGAGTCATCGGGACTGAGGCGCTGCTCGGCAAAGGCCAGCAGGGTGGGCCCGGGGGGCACCGGGAGCAGGGCTGGCACGCGATAGGTCAGGCCGGTCCTCTCCCGCTCAAAGAGCACAGTGCGCGGGGGCACCTTCCGCATCTCTGTAGGATGCGTGCAGTCAGTGCGGCGACCCAACCCTCCCTCAGCCCAGGGAGGCCCCCTGGCCCACAGCCACCAAGCCTCCAGGTGTCTGTGGGGTCTGCTCACGCCTGTCAACCCAGACCACCAGGTGCTCTCTGGTTAATCTGGGAGGGCAGGATCAGGGACTGGGGTCAGGGGTCAGGGGATGGGCCCGGAAGCCAGGGGCATCACAGAACCTGCCCAGAAGGAGGACACCCCAGTGGCCCTCAGAGCCTAGGTCACCCCACAAGGCAGGCTGTGCCCCCATGGGGACACCACCACCACCACAGGGGCCACCACAGACAGACAAGTTCCAAACATGCACACAAAGACACTGGAAACACAGAAAGACAAGACACAGGCACACATGCACAGACACATGTGAAATACACAGATACACACCAGTGTGCAGACCTCCACAGAAATGAGCACACGAACACCTGTGCACACGTACATACGGACACATGCATACTCACACACACAGACACATGTGCACACATACATAGGAAGGTGCACAGACACATGCACACATGCACACAAAGACGTGCATACACAGACACACACGCACATGCACACAAATGTGCTAGTTAAAGTTGTGTGTCAACTTGGCGGAGCGTGGTCCTGACTGGCTGGGCAGCTGGGTGTAGTTCTTCCCTGTGGTGAGGTTGTAATCACCGTCATGGTGGAATCTGCGTGAGCAGCTAGGGAGTTGCCTTTGAGAAGTGGCCTGCTTCCAGGAGATAAGGAGAAGCTTCGGGAAAGGTCTCTAGCTTTTTGGCACAGCTGGATCCCGCATGTGGCTGAGTCTTCATCTCCAGCCCCTGGACTTGACCAGGAGCCTGCGTGTTGCCTGATCTCAGGACTGTGCCATTTTACCTGTCAGTCTTGGCTTCAGCAGCCTCGGCAGCCAACAGCTGCATGATTCAGAAGCCTCCAGCTCCAGTGGGCCTGGAACAGGAGGCAGAGCTGAAGCCCAAGGTCAAGGGCCCTTCACCCAGCCTCTAGAGCCAGCACTTTGAACTCAGACTTCTAGCCTCCTAAACTGTAAGATAATAAATCCCTGTTTGTTAAAGCCATCCCCTTATGGTATGTCTGTTAGAGCAGACATATGGGAACACACGCATAGACACGCACAAACAGCGCACTAGAAGGCAGCACACAGGCTACATGGATGATCTGGGGGGCCATCGGGGTCTGGGGGCTCTGGGGAGTGGCCTAGGAGAGGTTAGGCCTGTCCTCTACTGAAAACAAGAGGTGGGAGCCCCAGACAGTGCCCCCCCAGAGATGGAAACTGCCTTCCTTGGTGGGTGTCTGAGTGGGGGAGGGGAATGGTGGCCACAGAGAGGGGACTGAGTGCAGTGGCACCCTCCAGGCCAGGGACCCCAAGGTCAGACCTAGTCTCTGGAGCAAGTCCAAGTGTGATGGCCCAGGTGGGTCCAACAGGGAGTAAGCAGGCAACCACATCCACCCCACAAGGTGCCCTGGGTAGCTCCCACAAGTGCCAGAGTGAGCAGGGGCAGAGCAGGGCCCAGTCAGTAGTGAGGACAGCTGCCACAGGAGAGGCCCATGGGTGCAGGAGATGGCCCCACAGAGGCGAGCAATGGCGAGTGGGAAGAACCTTGTGCCTACACCCTGCCCCGCCTGATGTCCACGCTGATCGTTGATTGCTGATCGCACACAAGCTGTCCTCACTGGAGGAGAGAAACGGGCTGCCTGCAAGGGTCTGACGGCATTCCATATCCTGCATCCCCAATTCCACATCCCAGGCCTCACACCCATACCTGCATCCCGCACTCTGTAGGCTGCAGCAGGACCAAGGTGAGAGCTGAAGGAAGGGGGCAGGCCTGTGCGCACCTCAGGGCCTGGCCCCTGGGGAATGGGAGGGGCAAGGCAGGATTGAACAAAGATGAGAGAGGGTCCTCTCCCTCACTGTCCTCCTTGCCCCCCCCCCATTGCCCATAGTCTATCCACCCCACCCCAGCCCCTGACAGCCTGGTGCCCTACAGTACAACAGGCCACCTCATAACACCGGTTACCCTGTGGTGGCCTCCCTTCACCCACAGGCCAGTGCTCCCGGGGCATGGGGTACTTCATGATCAGAATACCCCCACATCAGAGCCTGGCCTGAGTCAGGAATTCTGGGAGTGGAGACCTGTTCCTGAGTGACACTCGCCGGCTGGGGAGTCTAGCTGAACTGCAAACTCACCAGCAGCAGGCCCCCTGCCCCACAGAGGGATGTGCGTGCATGGCTACTGGAAGAAGGGGCAGAGGTGAGGGCGGGGGCAGCAATGTGGAGGACGGGGCAGGAAGCAGAAGCCGCGGGGGATGCAGGCCGATCTGGAGGGCCATCGGGGTCTGGGGGCTCTGGGGATGTGTGAGGACAGAGCCCTAAGGGAGCATGAGGAGAGACTGAGTGGGAAGGGAGCAAAGGGGAGGATGGGAGGGAGGGAGTGAGCAAGCACGTAAAACAGGGGCAGCCTCGCAATGACTGGGGGGTGGAGGTGCTGTGCCCAGAGGGAGCCCACACCAGGCACGACCTCCACCTCATTCTGCACTCAGTCCAGGACCACCTGCCCATGGAGGGCCACTCACAGGCCCCGCCCTGCTGCCCCACCGAGCGCCAGCACACCCCTGGGCTCACTCAGCTCTCCCCTGCCTGGGGCTCCTGCCCACCACCACCACCACTTCCTGTCTCCTGGAAGTCCTGGGCTCTGCAGTCAAAGGACAATTGTGCCCTAGCTGGACGCAGGTGCGGGCGCCACATGTCCCCTGAAGCTGGATGGGCACAGCAGGGCCTTCTGTGCCCACTTGGCTCCCTCCCCAGAACGGGGCCACCTGTCTTGCCTGGAGCCATGTGTCGGTGCAGCCGCAGAAGCAGAAAGGGCAAGCCGCCCCAGGCTCGGAGACGGAGCAGCGGGTCAGTCCCCACCACACAGGAGGGAAACTGAGGCCCACCAGGGGGATAAGCTTTCCTGGAACCCTAGGGGCCCGGGGCCCCCCAGCCCAGCGTCCTTTAAAGCACGGGCCTTCCCCAGCGGTCAGTGCTGCCCAGTGTCCAGTCCAGCAGATGATGAGCTTTGCTGGGCCAGAACTCGGCCTCATTGCAAAAAAAATTCGGTTGGGTGGGGGCAGCTTTCCTGGGTGTGGATGTTCTTGGAGAAAGGACTCAGAAGGATGGTGTCACAGAGGGGAAACTGAGGCCCAGGGAGCAGACGGGACCTCCCTCCAAGATCCATGGTCTCCTGGCCCCTTGGCCGTAGCTCCTGCCTGTCCCTGCCTGTCCTGCCTGGGCTCCGAACACTCAGCCCCGGCCACCCCGGTCACCCCGGCCACCCCGGTCACCCCAGCCACCCCGGTCAGCCCAGTCACCCGACTCACCCCACTCACCCCTGTCACCTCAGCCACCCCGGCCATCCCAGTCATTCCAGTCACCCCACTCACCCCACTCACCCCACTCACCCCAGCCACCCCAGCCACCCCGGTCACCCCGGCCACCCCAGCCACCCCGGTCATTCCAGTCACCCGACTCACCCCAATCACCCCAGTCACCCCAGCCACCCCGGTCACCCCAATAAGCATCACCCCAGTCACCCCAGCCACCCCGGTCATTCCAGTCACCCGACTCACCCCAATCACCCCAGTCACCCCAGCCACCCCGGTCAGCCCACTCACGCTGGTCATCTGTCAGCAGCATATCTTTGCCGTTTGGATCTGCCAGGGCTTAGCCAGCTTGGTTCACTGCAGGGCCCTGGCACAGGGGGAAAGGGGTGGGGCTCAGCTCTCCTGGTCCAGGTGCAGGGGGCGCAGGGAAGGGGCTTACCAGCTGTGTGAGGTAAGGGGGGGCTCTCCGGCTGTGCCCAACCCCCAGGCTGGGTGCAGGGCTGAGGTGTGGGCTCAGTGCCTGTGTGTCCCGGCCCCCAGGCTGGGTGCAGGGCTGAGGTGTGGGCTCAGTGCCTGTGTGTCCCGGCCCCCAGGCTGGGTGCAGGGCTGAGGTGTGGGCTCAGTGCCTGTGTGTCCCGGCCCCCAGGCTGGGTGCAGGGCTGAGGTGTGGGCTCTCCGGCTGCACTGCTGCTCACGGCTCATCCCCAGAAGCTGTTTGCCTGGCCTGACACCCCCCGCCCCCAAGGCAGAGAAGAGACAAGACCCGCTGTCTGGGTGCAGAGCCGGCAGCTGGCCACATCCTGGGCTGCGTCAGGACCCCCCTCGCTGGTCTGTGGCTGTGGCATTGTGGCGGGGGCTGGACAGGGTAGAGAAGGGCCGGGGAAAAGCATCTGGACAAGGTGGCCCCTTGCCAGCACAAGGAAGTGGGGGGCACTCCTCAGTGAGCGCTGGGGGCACCTTGTCAGCTGCCCTGATTCCCCGCCTAGATCCCCTTGCATGACAGCTGAGTGGAGCACGCAGACCCCCCGGCCTGCTTCACAGACACCCCCCTTGCCCATCAGCCATGACGCCAGCCTGGGGGCTCATGACCCCACAGCCTGCCCATCTGTGCTCTGCCAGCCCCAGCAGCCCCGAATGGGGTCCTTCAAAGTCCACTGATGGAGCACAGGGGTTTCTGTGAGGAGGAAAGGGGTCTAGGTGGTCATTTGGGGACAGAGCCTCGATCTCAAGGCACCTCCCCCACCAGGCAGGTGACAGGTTAGACAACTTCACCAGCGAGGAGCTCACATGGAATGGGCATGCAAGTGCAGCCCTCTAACAGGCCAGGACGGGCGGCCCCCTGACAGGCCAGATGGGCAGCCTTGGGCCTCCAGGAAGGTGCTCAGGGACTCAGGACACTGCTCCTAGGATGTGTCGAAAGCAAGCAGCCGCTGGTCTCAACCAGCTGAAAGGATGGTCTGTGAGTGATGGAGTAATTGACCACTCACACCACCCTCAACTGGGGACACCAGAGAGAGGTTAGCAGCCGAAAGAAAGTTCATGCTGCCTGGGGAGGTCCTGCGGATGGGCAGAGCGTCCATTTGGGATGACGCTGTACAACATGGACAATGTAACCAGCGCCACTGAATGAATGTTTCAACTTTTACATAAAACCTCAAGTTCACACAGAAACAAGAGCAACGTGCGAGGACTCAGCCTGCTGGAGTGGGTCCTGAGATACGCAATTGCTGTCTGTGGGACAGAAATGCAGTCAGCAGCCCACTCCAAGTAGGAAGGGGAAGCCGCAGGGCTGGATGCGACCGCTCTAGGTGGCCCTGCCTGCACCCATGGATGCAGCAGATGCCCGCTGTGCCCCCAGCATGTGATGAAGTGGGAAGGTCCCTCCACCGAAGCTCAGGGCTGCCCCAGTGAAGCAGCACACACTAGGGCTGCCGACAACAGCACCCACAAGAGGCCAGAGGCCAGTGCGGGGCTCGGAAGGTCCTGCCTGGCCCCCTCCAGCTCTGGTGGCTCCTGACAATCTCACCAGCCTCCGTCCCCCTCTCAGAGCCACCAGGAAGCATGCTGCTTTAATGCTTCCCCACCCTCGAGGCCCCGGACCCACGCTCCCACAGGCTTCTGTCTCCCTGCCCCTGGGGGTGTCCATCACAGACACGCAGCTCCAAGCCTCTGACACCACACCCCAGCATCACAACTCAGGCTGGGAAATGCCCCTTTCTGTCAGATAGTCCCAAGGCTGCCAACAGCATAGCATCTTGGCATCATAAGTGTCCCTTTTGGATGGACCACCTAGACAGGGTGTTCCCAGAATTCCATACCACAAACACCAATACGTGATTCCACATTTTAACAAAAATCCCCAAACTTCCCTCTGGAAAAGCAGTGCCGGTCCACATCCCCACAACGTCAACTGCAAAACCAAAATCGGTTCTGAGCTCACGCTCTGCTTCCTTCCCAGTTCCTGTGCAGCCAGGGATATTAGCCACACCTGCATTTCTGGGCCAGCCGAGGTCTGGCTTGTGCTCCCACGACAACGTCTCTGTGTGGAGGAGCATCAGGGATCCCTCGCCCTAGACTGGCATGGGTCCCACTGGTTCCCTGTGGCTGCTATTACAAAGGACCACTGTGGGTGGCTCTTGAGGACAGAAACGTACTGTCTCCCAGTTCTGGAGGCAGGAAGTCCAAAGCTGGGGTGTTGGCAAGGCCATGCTCGCTCCCTGTTGTCTCCACCAGCTTCCGGTGGCACCAGGCATTCCTCTGTCCTCACGTGGCCGTCTCTCCTGGCTCCCTGTCTCTTCTCTTCTTTTATATGGAAACCACCCAGATGGGATTAGTATCCACCCTACTCTGAATTGACCTCATACACCAAACCAAACCAAACCCATGCCCATCAAGTCAGTTCCCACTCATAGCCATCCCCCAGGGGTTCCCAAGGCTGTCAGTCTCTACTGAAGTAGAGATCTCTACTGAAGACTACCTCCTCTTCCTCCCAAGGAGCAGCTGGTGGGTTTGAACCACTAACCTTCTGGTCAGCAGCCAAATGCCTCATCCACCACACCCCACAGCACCTTATGGCCTCATATTAACTCATAATATAGTCAAAGGCCCTATGTCCGAACAAGACCACATGTGTGGGTTCCAGAGATTAAGACTTCAATGTGAAGTCTGGGGAGGACCCAATTCCATCTCCAACCCCATGGTAGCTAAGGATGGCTCCAGTTTTGGGAGTTGGATGATCCTGTCTGACACCCAGGGAGCTCATGGGGGCTAAACGTCCCAAATCTTTCTTCACTCGAGACAACTGTCTCGTCTTTGTTAGACTGGGTTTATCCATCACCCTTTCTGAGCTTCTGGGGCTCCTGTTTATACAGATGTTGGCTCACCCTGAATCTACTGCCTTCCCCACTTCCTCTCATGGTCACTGCTGTGTGTTGTCCCCGGGCTGGTCCTCAGGCTGGCTCCTGAGCTGATCTCAGCTACAAGCACTGAGTGCCCATCTCCTCCTCGCTGCCTCTATTCAGTCTTTGGAAGCCATTTCTTCAGTCTCCAAATACTCTCTTATTCTGAAATTGATTTCCTATCTCCGCTAACCTCATGAACAGTCACTCTTCAAGTCTCTCCATTAAACCAGTGTCCCAGGGACCACGTGTGGGGATTATCTGAGGTGTGCCCTCTTTTCCTCCTGCCACCCTCTTGTGCAGACATTCCCTCACACACAAGCACCCTCAGCAGGTCACGGGCCCTGTGTCTCAGGGCTGGGGGCCCACATGGTAAGATGGAAGAGGGGGCTCCCCCCAAGGCTGAGCCTCCAGAAGAGCATGTGGAAGCAGCTCTATCCCTCAGTTGCTCCGGGTCCCCTGCTTTTTCTAGGACACAGTGCTGGGCGTGAGCCCCCGCTTCACCAGCGGGGCCCCAGTGGCTAGGGGTCAAGTGCTCCCGGGACCCAAGCCCCAGACACCCACGCCTGCCCAGATTTCCTGGTGTGCTGCAGTGTTACTCGGCCTGGCTCTTCGAGTCTTTGTGACTATGGGTGAAACTTTGCAAATGTGAGGTGCTTGTGGCCCACCAAGGGGACTGGATAGTGTGCTGGTAATGTCAGTAAGGTGTGTGACCCCCTTTTGGGGGTGGGACTGTGCGATAAGGCACATGGAATCCTAATGTGGGGACTAATCAGTTTTGCCATTTCACTCGGCTTAAAATGAGCCCTCCCAGAGGCAAAAGGGGAGAATCTCACTATTGAGACAGGGCAGCCAGCAGTGAAGCGTGACCTTGGACCCCAGAGCCCTGCGCTGGACCTTGTTGGCAGAGAGACCGTGGCAGCAGAAGCAGTAGAGCCGAGAGACTGACACGACACCCAGTGGTGGGCTCACCGGCCACAGAGCGGGAAAGCTGAGTGCCTTTGGGCAGGAGGTTTGCTGTCAGAGCGGGGGTCACCTATCAGCAGAGCTGGAAGACCTTTGTACCACTGGCCCAAGCAGGGCAGAGGCCAGACTGAGGGGCCAAGGGCCAAAGAGAGGCATGACTGTCCTGATCGAAGAACGGTATCCTGAGCATTCCTGACCCTGAGTTGTAGCCTGTTCCTTCCCTTAAAAAATCCATAATCATGAGTACTGTCTGTGAGTTCCATGTGGCCACTGCAATCAATTACCAAATGCTGCAGAGAAGTAGAGCGTACATTGGGAGGGATAGCTGGTGTGAGAATGGCTGAAAAGGTCCTAGGAACCAGCCTGGGGCTGTCGCTGATGGTGACTCTCTTGCCCCCTGGTGAAGTGACACCAGAGGATGTGGCCCTGCGCCCTTTGCCCCTGGGGCAAGTTCTGGTGAATAGTAGTAGTGTGTGAAGCTCTAAGTAGTGAAGCCTTGTCAGGTGGATGCTACCTGAGGCAGCACATCCCAGACCAGCACGTGCAGCACTGAGGGTCTTCACCCACGAGGCTGCTGGGGGGTGGGAGGCGAGACCCCGTGTAGAGTGTGCCTTGGCCCCAAGGGCAGCCGTCTGGCCAGGCCTAGGTCTCCCAGCTGTCCGGAGCCCGGCACGGAGCACCAGGCGTGCTCCGCCGCCGCAGGCATGGAGACGGGAGCACGGTCCTGAGCCCGCCCTACTCGTTCAGGAACTGGATGTTCTTGGGGGGCTTCTCCGGGAACTGCAGGGCATACAGGTGAGCCATGTACTGGAGCTCGGGCATCGCCATCCTCCGGCAAAGCTCCAGCGTCTCGTTGACCAGGCCCGGCCGCAGGTTGTAGCCTAGGATGTCAGCCTTCCCTGGCTGGTAGGGCTTCAGCTGCACATCCGTGATCTGCGACTTGTTCTTGGGCGCCCCGTCCTGCACGCACAGGCGGGTGAGCTCCTGTCGCCGCGCGCGCAGCAGCCCCACCTCTCTGCGCAGCCGCCGGGGGCCCAGCTCGGCGCGCACGCGGGCCCAGAAGGTGCGGTTGAAGTGCTGGTACAGGCTCCAGTCGAGCGCGCACCAGCGCTTGGCGCGCTCCCGGTCCTCGGGCGTCAGGCTGGTGATGCTGCGCTGGCTGCGGGAGTTGAGCTTGAAGTAGGCCACGTCGTCCAGCGTCCAGCCCAGGGCGCGGCGCAGCAGCACCATGGACTCGTCGAAGTAGTCGGCGATGAGGACCACCTGGAAGCGGCGCTGCACCTCGGCGATGCGCGCGCGCACGTAGCCCTCCTCGGGCCAGGCGTCGTTGTCGAAGCCCAAGTCGAACCACATGCTGTTCCTGGCGTGGGCGTTCTTCAGGCCTACGCTGTCGTTGTAGTAGGTCCACGGCGAGGCCAGGAAGGCGCTCAGACTGCTCACGGCCTGGAAGGCGGGCACGTAGTTCTTGTAGTAGACGAAGGAGGACTCCAGCTGCGAGACTGGGTTCCGGAGGATGGAGAAGTAGAAGGTGTCCTCAGGCATGACTTTCTGCACCTGTTTGGGGACACAGGGGGAGGCGCGTGGTTCTCCTGGCGGGTGCCCCCGGCCCGCACACCAGAAGGGCCCGCCTCGTCCCACCCCGCAGCCGCCGAGCGGCCCGCCCTGCAGCCGCACCTCAGCCGGGTTGAACCTCAGGTGGTTGCACATGAGGTTGAAGCGCCGCCGCGGGCCGGGGCCCTTCTGCTCACTGCCCTCCACGTAGCGCGCCAGGAAGAGCCAGGGGTAGCCGAGGTGGAAGCGCTGGCCTTCCGGCAGCGCCACGGACAGGTTGTGCGTCTCAGCGAAGCGGAACAGCACGTTCAACACGGTGCTGCTGGCCGTCTTGTGCGTCTTGAGGAACATGATGTTGGTGACAGGTGGCTTTGCAGCCCTCTGGAACAGGCTGGGGGGGGGGTGGCAAGGAGGGCTGTGAGTGAGATAGCACCCCCCCACCCAAGACCCCAGCCCTGTGTCCCCAACCCAGCAACACTCCAGCCCAGCCATCCCCAATTCTGCACACCCGATCCGTATACCCCCACCCTATGTGCCCGATGCAGCAGCCCCTCAGCCCAAGACCTCCAGCTATGTGTCCCCAACCCTGTGCCCCAGCAACTCTCAGACATGCAACTCCCAATTCTGCACCCCTAATCCTGTGCCCTAACCCAAGACCCCGAACCCAGCAGCACTCCAAGCCAGCAATCCCCAACTCCCATGCTCCCAGCCCTGTGACCTAACCCAGCAACCCTCACCTAAGACCCCCCAAGCCTGTGCCCCCAACCCAGCAGCACTCCAAGCCAGCAATCCTCACCTGCACCCCCAAGCCCTCTGACTGTCCTTCAGGCCAGCCCCCTGCCTTCTAGCACCCAGCACCCTCTGACCATCCAGCAGGCCAGCCCCCCGCCTCCCAGAGGAGCCCACAGGATGGCAGCACCAGCTCCCAGTAGGCCACTTCCTCTACAATCCCAGTGGCCTCAGAACCCTGCTGGGCAGCCTCTGGCACCCTACAATGAGGAAAGGGGGGTGGGAGGGCAGGCAAGAGGGCAGCGTCCCAGGAGGGTAATGGGTCCCAGGAGGGAAGGTCTCGTGTCTCCTGATAGAGGGGAAACTGAGGCCCAGGGTCACTTCACCAGTGCAGGTAGGGGCCTCTGAGGTAGGCAGGCTGGGGGTCCTGGACCCCAGAGCTGTCAGGGACAGCGGACGCCAGGGGGTGGCCTCCCAGAGCTTCAGCTGATGCAGCACTTACGGCGTGAGCAGCCCCAAGTCCAGCTGCAGAAAGCCAGCCAGCAGGAGCAGCGTCACGGCCAGGAGGATGAGGATGGCCTGGAAGTACCTGTGGGTGAGGAGCGTCCCAAGTCGGGACACAGGAGGGTCATCTCCACGCCAGCCCACCACCCCTGTCTTGCAATCACACCCTGGGTCCACAGGCCACATGCCCCAGCACAGGTCTGGCCTCCCACCACCACGAGACACTGGGTGCCAATGTGTGCCCGAGTGGGAGTCAGATCTGCCCCCACCCACTTGGCCCCACATGCTGCCCACAGCCCAGAGCCAGGAGAAGCCGCAGAGCTAGCCCAGGCCAGGGCCGGGAGCTGGGCAGGCAGATGGGGTGGGGGAGAAACCAGATCAGAGGCAGATCGCTCCACACAGGACCCCCAGGAGACTGAGGACCAAGTGAGATCCCACAGACACAGAGGGCTGCAGAAGAGAGGCCGGAGCTGGCAGTCAGGGACAGAGGAGACCCTCGAGGGCCTGGACTAGACACCTAGGGAGACTCACAGTAGCTCCCTGCCTCAGCTCTCTCCCCCTCCCTTGGTTCCAGACTCTTCCTTCACGTTCCTCAGACAGCAGCCTCATGGCCTTTGCACGTGCTGAAGCCCCAGTTCACAAGGCTTGCCCATGCTTGGCCTGACCTCTGCTCGGCTCTCACCTTTCCAGGGGTCTCCCCGACCTCCCAGACACGCAGTGCAAACCCCCTCCTTGGGTTTCCCTCAGCCTTGCCCACCCCCCTCCAGCTCTGCCCACCAGCAGTAAGCTGACCTCCCCTCACTGTATGCAAAATACTTGATTCATAGTTGCCGAATGGATGAAGGGGAGCACACATGTCCCCGCCAGGCCATCACCTGTTCCAGTCTGTCCCACAGCTGGCCCCTGCTCTGCCCAGTCCTGACCCAGCAAGCAGCCCACGGGGTCTGGAGGCAGTGAGCAAGGTGCCTCCTTCAAGCCCGGAACCCCATCTTCAGGAGGGTAGTTCACCAGGGTCTCACCCCGGGTCCCCACAGCCACCATTTATTGAGCCCCTAATGCCCATCCTTACTCCATCACCCACCCTCATCTCACCAACAACCCTGAGGAGAGAACTCTACACAAAACCACCTGCCCACAGCCTCCTGGACGCTCGCACCAAGCCTATTCCCAGGCTACATGTACGGAGGCTCTGAGGCACCTCTCACTTGGAACTCCCTGGGGGGAAGCTCCCAAGTGTCGTCTACAGAGGCTTGATCCTGACCGTGGGATTTGTAGCCTGCATAGCCCAGTACTGCCAACACTCAGGGGGCCTGGGACAGACGCTCCTCGGGGCTGCAGGCACATGGCAGTGTGGGGAACATAGGCTGTCCTCAGGGCTGTGGGCACCCGGGGCATCAAGGTGGATCATTCTTTTTCTTCCATCTGTCTTGCAGCCTCGTTACAGACCCCAGCCTGCACACTATGGGCCAAGCTTGCATGCAGAGCACTTCTGGCCCTGGAATTCGCATCGAGGAGGCCACACCCACAGCCCAGCAGGGCATCTCACTGGCCCCTTCGCCACCTGGACAAGGAGCAAGAGGAGAGGTGGCTTCGAGGGCCTTCTGCCTTCTCCAGGTGGGCCCAATGAGGACATCTGAGTGTGGTCACCCCCCACACACCCCACTGGCATTGCAGCCACATGGCATGTCACAGTGACTTTCTGGTGGTGACCTCACCTGTCCCCAGACACACACCTACAAAGCTTACACAGCTGTCCTTTCAAGGGCTGTCCTGAGATCAGCACCTTTGGACCAAACATCTTCCCCAAGTTGAGTCCTGCCTAGACTGGCCACCAGGTAAACATGCCAGCGAGCAAGCCATCTCCTGAAGCCTATCTTGAGAAAGGACTTCAGGTGGGCCAGGTAGGCTTCAGGCCCCTGTATTTGAAGGAGAAAGAAAAAAGGGTCTGGAGTCCAGCTAAAGTGACACAATGTCACAACAGGGCCTCTGGCCTATGCCTGGCAAGGCGGCCTGTGGTCCCAGTGACTGGAAGGGGCATTTGGTACCCCAGGCAGCCCCTGAAGGGTGAAAACAGAGCACAGGGCTTGGGGCTTGGTGGGTTAGGCTTCTCAGTGCAGGAGGTCAAACAGCATAGCCAAGGAGCCCAGGCACCGTGCTTGGACTCAGAACCCCTAGAATCTGAAGGGATTCTTCAACACGGTCAGGATAAATCCTAGACATGGCTTACTGTGCCAGAGGCTCTGTGCCCATCATTTGAGAATCCAAAATGGTCCCAATGGCCACATCAGGACGAGGGTGACAGCGTGAGATGTGTACCTCAGTTGTGGGCAGCTGCAGGGTCTTCCACCCTGGCAACTCCTACACATTCTGCAAAGTCCCATGTAAAAGATGCAGGGTAAAGTGTGGACAAACACTGAATGTGCCACGGACAGCCAGAATGAACACATCTGTCCTGGAAGAATCGCAGCCAGAATGCTCCTTGGAAACAGGGCGATGACACTGTGTCACATGCTTCGGACACGTTATCGGGGGACCAGTCTCTGGAGAAGGACGGCAAACTTGGTAAAGTAGCAGGTCAGTGGAACAGAAGACCCTCAATGAGCTGGACATAGCGGCTGTTGTGATGGGCTCAAACCCAGCAGTGACTGACTATGAGGATGGCACAGACCTGGGCAGTATTTTGTCCTGTTGAACTGATGCCACAGCACCCACCACCAACAATAAAAAGTGCCTCCAGGGCCTACCAAATGGCCGTGTTGGATCCAGGATGATGGCACACATGTGGGGGGCACTGCCTCTTCCTGGTCAGGCCCACGTCCCCCAGCCCTCCTCCCTAGGGCCCCCAGGCGGCAGGCTGCAGCTGAGGCTCGGGGACTCCGTTGTGTTCCTCTCTCACTCAGGTCCCATTGCTGCATCTTTGGGGAGAGACTCTCCATCTGTTCCAGCGGCCGTGACCTCAGCAGCTGCAGGACCACATCTCGAGGACCATCCCGCACAGCCCTGAGGGCCACTACCAAGGAGGAATGCGGGGTGGGAGCCGCCAGCCCAACCACAGGGGGACCCATGTCCTGGGTCCAGTAAGCAGTGTCCCCCACTTCTTGGTGAGGTTGGGGAGGTTGGCACAGCCACCTGCCCAATGCTGTGACAGATGGCAGCATTTCACCGCACTCAACAGTCTAACCTCACCTGGGGACAAGGGTGAGCTCTAGCCTGGCTGGACAGCAGTCCTCAAAGCCTCCTACCTGAGAACCAGCCCGTAAGGCACCCTAACCTCCTCTTTACCTCGTCTGGGGCTGGGGCTGGCTTTGCAAGACTGGCCGGAGCCCTGCACTGCCCAGCCAGTGGCTGACCCCAGCACATCCCATATCCCAGCCCCCACTGGAGCCCCTTCAGCCTGGTGACTACCTGCTCCTCACTGTCTGCTCCCTACCACCAGCCAGGCTCGCTCTGTCTGCCCTCACCAGCCTCCCTCATTCCCGCCCCAACCCCACACAGACTGTCCCTGCTCCATGCCTCCCCCATCAGATAAGCCAAGAAGCCCTGGTCCTACTGGTAAAAATGGGCTCTAGAGACCATAATCAGCATGGGGGTGCTCACGGCAGCCAGGTAGGTCAGAGCTTCTGGCTTTCAGCCGACAGAGCTGGGCCGATACATAAAGATGGCACATGAGAGCACCCTGATGGTCCAGCTCAGATCAAAACCACAGCTTCTTAGCTTAGCCCCTTGCAGTGAGTCGGAGAGGGTCTGAGGCTGGTGAAGGAAAAGGGTGTGACTGAGAGGCAGCAGTGCACCACAAGCTACAAATAAATCAACTTAATCAGGACAACAAAACCCTTGGAAGAGAGGTAGGGACTGTGTATCTAGGTGAGGTCCCTCTGCGGCCTGATGGGAAGTCTGAGTCAGAGAGCTCCCAAGGGACACCTGCAATGACAAGGCTTCTCTTACCTGGGCCAGCAGGTGACACAAAGCCAATAGCTGGTGTGTAAATGAGGCAGGCTGCAAATGGTTAGCATCTGTTTTGTTTTTTTAAATTGTGATTTGGGTGAAAGTTTACAGAGCAAATTCACTTGCCATACTGCAGCTCACATACACTTTGTCTCATGACATTGACTGCAATTTCCCACAATGCAACAGCTCCCCTCCCACTTCCTCCTCATAGTTACCTCATCCCTGTGTCCTTCCCTCCATGCACTCCTGCCCCCTGAGCTGTCTCCCTGTGCGTACACAGCCCTTCTATTATCCCATGATTGTTCTCTCCAAGGAGTATATCTACCTAATGTAAATGTTCAGCTCATATGCCTGTCTTTTGTTTGGCTGGAAGCCACAGGAGTAGGTTCAATTCCAGATGTGAAGGGCAGCTAGGGGCCACAGTCTCAGTGGTTCCACCAGGCTCTATCAAACCAGCTAACCTGGTCCCTTTTTTTTTTTTTTTTTAAATGATTTTGAGTTTTATTCCACATTGTTCTCCCACTCTATCCAGGATCTCCTACACACATCCCCCTCCTAGCGGTTGACAGTGGTAGCCAGGTACCATTTAGTTCTGGTCTCATAGTTGTATAGACTGAGGATTGCATGGTGTACCAGTTGTTTGGACTAATGGTTTCCATGTGTCTTTGGTTTTCTTCATTCTTCTTTGCTCTGGACGAGGAGAGACCCATCGTTGCATCTAGATGGCCACTTGCAAGCTTTTAAGATCCCAGTCACTACTCACCAAAGTAGGATGTGGAAAAATGTTTTTGTGTAGTATGTTATGCCAATTGAGCTTGATGTCCCCTGTGACCATGGTCCCGAGCCCACAACTCCAACTATTTGCCCTGCTTAGGGTTATTTTTAAGGCAGTTGGGTGTGTACGAGTTTGGGGCTGGCAGGCTTTTCTGTGCTAATGGGCCAGCATGTTATGAAGCCGTGGACACTGGGCCATGGAGGCCGGCTTTGGCTCAGTCATGTAGCCCCACTTTCTTTATCACATCTTGTCTTCTCACCCAGACTGCTGTCTCATGGACGTGGCAGTGACAAAGTCTGAGGACCTCACAATTCCTCATTTGCTGTGTCCACATGCCCATTAACGCAACAACAGTATGGTTAGTGCCAGAGGCAACGTGGCTCAGTGGTAGAATTCTCGCCTTCCATGCGGGAGATCCAGGTTCCATTCCCACCAGTGCACCTCCTGGGCAGCCACCACCCATCTGTCAGTGGAGGCTTCTGGGTTGCCAGGACTCTGAACAGGATTAAGGGGAGCTGCCAGACTAGGAAGAGAGGCCTGGTGACTGCCTTCTGAAAATCAGGCATTGAAACCCCACGGATCACGACAGCCCAGTCCACGCTGACCACGGGGCGGCACAGGACGGGGTCCACGCTGACCGCGGGGCGGCACAGGACGGGGTCCACGCTGACCGCGGGGCGGCACAGGACGGGGTCCACGCTG